GTTATGTTTAGTGAGCTTGGAACAGGTTGGATTGACAGTAACGATATTCAAAGTCAAAGATATACTTGCTTAGTAGCCAATTTCTTGGTCGTGTCCAAATAATTTCAAAATATAAAGAGATTCATTCTAAAAGAAACCTAATTTGGAAAAATATTTGACCAATGCACTCCTGAAAGAAGTCTTTGGTATTCAAACAATTGTTGATTGTCTAAAATCATGCTTGATACCTAATGTTTTAGGTCTTAATTTTGTAAATTTCATGAATTCTGACAAATTTTGAGGTGCCTATTCGTGAAGTCTTGAATACTCACAATTTAAAACGAGTTATAACAAATCCTCCAATTTTATACCATTTTGCTTACATTTTTTAAATTAAATAATCAAATCCAATTTTATACCATTTTGCTTACAGTTTGCAAATTAAATAATCAAATCCATAACCCGAGTCCAACTTTCAAACACCAATACTTCACTTTCTACAATTTGTTTATTTCTCGAGTCCAACCTTTTTCCAGTAATAATGATTATTACTCCCAAATTCAAATCCCTTTAGTAATAATAAACCCTAATCCCAAAAAAAGATAAACATATATCACCATTGTAAAAAAAAAATATTTCTTACAAATTCAATAAACTAAGAAAGTCGTCTTTAAAATACATCATTCAAGAACATGGGATCGAAAACAAACGCTATAGGACATTTAGCCCTACCACGTGAACCTCTGTCCAATCTACCATGTGACTATGTGAGGACACAGGACAGAGCTCCCAGCTATCGAAACTAGGGATGACAATGGGTCGGGTTGGGTCGGGTTTTGCCAAACCCAAACCCAAACCCATGGGTTTATCGGTAAAAAAACTCGGGGTAAAATCTACTGGGTTTGAAAAACTCAAACCCAACCCAACCCGCTGGGTATCCGCGGGTTCATGGGTACCCACGGATTTTGTCGTAAAAAATTCACCATAACAAATTCCTATCAAAATTAAAGTCAAATATCAATCTCCCAATACAAACTATCCATATATAAAACACCATTCTAGAAAATTCAAGCAAATCACAAATTAACTATACAAATTGTTCAACACCAATCTAGAAAACTCAAGAAAATGGAAGCAAATCACAAATTATCCATAAATAACATGATTAATTGAAAACTTCTTCCTTTCTATTAAGTTTTTCACTCTCAACTTCATAGTTCATACTACATAACTAGAAATAAAAAATTAGACATGTCTCCACAAACATAAATAAGATTAGTTGTTTAGAATATTAAATATGTCGAGAAAATTAATTATATGAGTGTGGGCGGGTACCCATGAGTCGGGTTTACCTAAACCCAAACCCAACCCGGTGAATAGTGAACGGATTTAAACCCAAACCTGGCCCAAAACCCGTCAACACGGATTTTACCCGCGTTGACCGGGTTGGATCGGATGGGTACCCGTGGATTCGGATTTTGTTGCCATCCCTAATCGAAACAAAAGAAAAGAGAGAGGAGGAGGTCCGAGGAGGCATTTCCCCAGCTATCGAAACAATTGGATAATAATGAACACAAAGAAACTCCATCACGAACCCTAAATTCCTGCGAATTTCATGTCAAACATGCAAGCATTATGTGCCAGTTCGAGCATATGGTACATTTGACTGACTATCATGATTTCCAATAACCCTTTCAGTAATATACTGCAATTAATCACATATACGAAGTCTCGAATATCACTATCAAGAATGAAAGAACGCAACAGATTCAACAGAAGGGTAAGTATGCTTTCAAGAACCCACTAACGGTGACAGTTGAGCAAACTGAGCATCGCAACACCCCATCCCCTGTGAGCTGAACTTTAACTTCTTTGATGTGTTGAGGGGGAAACAATAATATCTTCCTGGACGTGTATCAGCTTTGACTAGTCGTCATTGTGATTAGATGGCCAATGATTGCCGTGACAACTCCAAGCAAACAACCAGCCACTACCTATCAATCACCATAGATAATCCACAAAGGTAAGCACTAAGCACTACGGACTCAAGATTGTTCCCAGAACTCTACTAGTCTCATATTGACCATTCCATTTCTTCACAGACACTCAAAACTCTGTCAGAAAGCTACAAACATAAGCATTAAGATATTTGTGGTGTTATTACCTGTGCAGGAGTATGACCAAGAAGCTCGCGCAGAGGTCTGCTCTCAGCCAAAGGATGTTCAGCTGGCAGTTCATATACAATTTGATTCAAGACCTGAGGCAAAAAAGCTCATTTGATTAACTAGTAATTGGGATTGATTACCACCAATTGTACAAAAGGGATTGTATTATAGCATTCAAAACCTCGGCTTGGCGTCCAGCTTGTAGTCTTACACCAGTTGCATCATACATCACCTGCAAAACAAAATGAATCCACATCAACAAAGTGATCTGTCTTTTTTAAGTTTGCAATATGACTGAAGAGGAATCTTACAACGCAAGCTAAGATCAATGCAGCGGCAAAAAGTGATCCTCCAAACCCTTCCTGGAACCCAATGGCCATGGCGAGAGCAGAAACAGTCGCAGAATGGGAAGATGGCATACCACCAGATCCAATGAGCAGCTTCAAATCCCATCTTTTTTCACTGTACCTGCACATCTAAGGAAACCTTAAGCCACTTAAGAGATAAGCTAAAGCAATCAGCAAACTACATGCCAACAAAAAAAGCTTACTGCAAATAGTTAAAGAGGGTTTCAGGGGTCTCTTAAGGGGATAAAATTACAGAATATCTTTAGCTCCCATTAGCTCATTTGTTCAAAACCGACAAGCATATGATCGATTCATAGAATAACTTCATCAGCTTGATTACATGGCTACAAAAGTTGTTTATATTTTCACCAACTAATTCTCTTTCTTTTTCATGGGTTGACTGGTAGTTAGTTTCATTCATCTACCAAACTAAATTCCAACCCATTCCCTTCCATCACATTCTCAAGATCAATCAATCATGCCCGCCAGATAACAATCAGCCATGGACAGACAGACCATTAAACGGGCTCGCATTCTAACAGGACATCATCTTATCAAAGGAAAAATGAAATTCACCGGTAATATATCCAAATCACTGGCAAACACAAAATACCATAGCTTTTTCACGAAAGAAAACAAACCCAGATCCTGAAAAGCTGCCAAAGATGAACGTACCAGGAGGTGATGAACTTGGTAGCTTGCGCAATTGTGAAGGCGACAATTGCAGCGATGAGCGGGTAATTAGTGAAAAAGGTGGACGAGTGCGAAGAAGAAGACCCAACGGTCTGATCCAAAGACCCCGAATCGCCGGCATCCCCCATCTCACCTCTAGGTCGTTTCCAACCTTCCCCAAACCCGAAACCCCACCCTCCAAATTCCTTCCTCTCTCCGCTCAATTTCCCTTCGATATATACAGCTGAGAGAGTGAGCGACACACGAGGCAGGAAGGAAAAGGAAGGGCGTTTGGTTGCTTAGGAAGAAGAGAAAGAGAAAGGGAAGAAGGAATTTTGATTTAGGTTTCTCCGATTTTCTTCTTTTGATTGCTTGAAACTTCTGTTCGTTGCCCCCCAAATCAATGGTAAATTCTCGCAGTCGTGTCGGACTAACGGGATCGCAGCAATCAGACTCCGGCCTTCGAAATTGTTTCTTTGCGCAAACTGACTTAATATGCCGATTGCCCAGCTAGTTCTCGTCAAATTATGTCGCGAATATACCCTCTGCTTCGCATCACAAACCCGCCAAATACACAGTCCAATCCTTTTTCCGGCGAAAATATGGGTAATAGTGTATATTTGTCCGAATCGGACCTAATCGGTTATGATAAAATTCGAATTCAAAATATTTTCAGTGGATATGGATAAATCTCAAACCCGAAAAATATTGTAGATAATGGGTGAGCATGGTTTTCACATTATCTAACCCAAACCCGTCCAATTATACACATTAATATTCATATGTATTTTGTTCAGGAATAATCATTATTTTTGTAAACATATTTTATATTCAACATACAAATATAATATTTTCATAAAATATCTTATCATTAAATTTTTCGGAACAACTTGCTGTATAATTTCACATTGTGATTATTGAAGCATTTGTTTAAGATTACCATAAGTTTCATGAATGTTTGATACCTGTTAAATTCATATGAGTTATCATTGGTCATCAATAAACTTTCGTCACAATAATCAGCTATGAGAATTGAGGGAGAAAGAACATTGTGGCAAACCCTGTTCCTTACCACTTGAGTCACATGTTTATGCATGTGTTCGATGAAAGAATAAAACATTCTTTGAAGTCGTCATTAAGCCAATGATGAAAACTACAAGAGGAAGTAAAGAAACTTGCAAGGTTCATTTGACCATCTAAGATAATGGTCTTATCCGCAAAACACATATAAAGTAAAAAATCAAATTAATTTCCAAATTCGAACAAAAAAAATTCGAGTAAATACCATATTTGGTCACTGGGATTACTAAATCACATTATGTTAAGTCACTAGAAAAAATTAATATCAATTTTGGTCACTCGAATTACTAAAACATGTCACATTTAGTCACTCTCTTGTTAGCCTCCGTCCAACTCCGGCCACTCAAATTACTTTTTTTTTATGAATGTCACTTGAATTACTGAAACATGTCACATTTAGTCACTCTCTGTTAGCCTCCGTCCAACTCCGTTAATGGAGTTGGACGGAAACTAACGAGAGAGAGACAAAATGTGACATGTTTCAGTAATACGAGTGACCAAAATTGATATTAATATTTTCTAGTGACTAAACATGACATGATATAGTAATTTCAGTGACCAAATGTGACATTTACCCAAAAAAATTCTCCATTTTGATATTATGTTGATAAATAGGAATTTGATAGAAATTATTGTATCTTATTATTGAACCACAAAAATTTATAAAAATAACGAATTCTCATAAAAATCCTAATATTAATTAGAAAAACACTTAACTTGTAGAAATCTAACATACAAACCCAAATTAATAAGGAATATGACTATAAGAAATTACAGAAATAGTACTCGTAATATACTATAATAATATTATTATTAATTACTACTCATACTCTAATGATGTGTGACATTGATCTCAGTTGTGTAGTGACAATCAACTATTCAACAACGTGACTCTTCTTTTGAAAGGTTTGGGTGGGAAACGTAACGAGCTTCACCGAAACGTCTGCCATTGAAACTTGTAGCCCCCGGCTCTGTTACGTAGCACATAAACTCCAGAAGCTCCTATCCTGTGGCTGTATGTATCTTTCTACTTCCCAATCATACGGCACCGTTTTCGTAACTTCAGCTGGGGAATTCTTCAGCCTCATGTACCCTTCTCCGCCACAGCAAGCAAATTGCCTTGACGTGCAAGGTACCGAGGGATAAGCAGCGGCGGAACAATTTCACTTGGTCGCCTTTACCAATCTCACAGACGACGACAGTTTCGGGAACTCCTTTTTACCAGCTGTAACATTTTGTTACCAGCCAACTGAATGTATATGTAAAATTTACCAGCTCTATACAGGTACTGAGCCATCCTTCCCGACGCACTTAATTAACTCTGCCTTTGCAGCTTCCATTACCACTTTGAAATCAGTTCCGGTGTACCTTCCCCTGCAAACATCCACACACTTTCGGATTCAGTATAACCTCCAGACCGTGGAAAGGCTGCCATTTTGTAAGTAGTTACCAAAGGATGGACCGAGTTACAATCGATTCAGCATGCACCAGACCAAAGTGTTATCAATGTGGTTCTCTTTAAAGGATATTTTATGAGTTTTAGTTTAGTCCAACATCCAACAAGTCTTGACATACCAGAAATGGGCACCAGCCCAAGTCGATGAAGGATAAGCTGGACTGGCAATGCCGTGCATTATTCTCGCAACAGCTCGGGGTGTAAACTTTGCATGCGCATTGCTCTGCAGGAAAACCTGAACAGTATGGCTATCTCTTTAGCAACTGCACAGAAATACTAGCTTGGGGTACAAGCTACCAACGCTTTAGTATAATTGAACTGTCCCACCTTTATATCTGCTCGCAGAAATGGGCTGCAATGGATAAACCCCATTCTTTGGTCAGCATTTTGTACACCAATTACAGTAACTGAATACAACAGAAGAAAACAAAGAAAAGAATCTGGAGTTTACCTGATTTGACTGGTCTTGTCTGCAACTTCGTGTTCTGTATCTTCATTGAAGTAGTTGAGAATCCTTCTCTGCAGGCATGCCGTGTGGTCAGCGCCATTGCAACCTGCAGTCTTCTTGCAACCATTCGTGGTGAATTGGACAGCATCATGGATTTCCTGTAGCCTTCTTACCTGCAGGAAAAAAGAATTACATAAATCCACTAACCAAGAAGAACAAAAAGGAGAGTCAAATGTGACCAGAAACATTTCAGATCTTACGATTTCACAATTGTTTTTATACCCCATGGCTACAGGTTTAAGCATATTACGTTAAGGAGATATATCCGGAATCAAATACCTTAAACCGTTCGACTTCAGCTAGCCATTTGGTGAGATGTGTGGAAAGGGAGCTCACATCCTTGGGGACCTCCACCAGTATATAACAAAATGCTGGGTCCTTAACCTCGTATGTTATTTCTCCTTTGAACTGGATCATCCAACATTCAGCAGAGAAAATGCCCACTCAAATTAAACATCTGCAACACTACAAAGTATATCCAGAGTAACTTTGGATGGAATGCATTTAGTTTGATGGGTTTGGAAGCTGTAAATCATGTTTCCCATCATCGTACAAAGTCAAGAGTCAACCCTTTCCAAATGAAAAGTGCAATCATAGAGATTAAAAGAAGGATTTTGGAGTGCTCTAGGTTTCAAACCTTCAGATTCAAGAGGTGATCAGACAACTCAGTAATTGAGATGCCAATGCTATTTGCCACTGAAGGAATGTCAAAAACATGTTCTCCTTGCTTAGTTTCACATCTGAAAAATGGTTTCATATGATCAAAGGAGAATTCTAAAACAATGGATATTGGATAACATGCTTTACAAGGTTGCAATCAGAAAGTTGAAACTGTGCGGACCTTTTGAGGATTGCAGAAACCACGGTATCCTTGTCAGCAAGTAGCCCTGGTGCAGTCTGCATTTATGCATCTCAAAGCATCAACACTGTGTGCGATCAAATCTAAGACCAATACAATTAATAAGAAGCACAGCTAGCCGTCTTTCTTGGAACAAAAATGACATCAAGCCAGTAAACTGGGAATCCAAGTCCTAAACACTGGATACACGTTCACAACTTGAGTTCGTTTCCAGGTTATATGTGCAGGTACCTTTTAAAGGAAAAGGGGGGGGGGGGGGGGGGGGGGACGGGACCCCAGTACTCATGGAATAATTATTAAGCCGCTAGAAATGGCAAGCATACAAAAGAAGGGTATCAAGAACATAGGAGATATAGATTCCCATATGAAACCAACCTTGTAGAAATTCACAGTGCATGTAACATTTACTTGTGGAAGTAGGCGCAAGTATTGCACTTCCCCTAACTCCAACTGTGTTAGAAGCGTGAGCATCACCTTACAAGTTACAACACAAAACAAATAAATAAATAAGGCACTGACCTACTGGAAAAAAATGCAAGGTACACGATTCATTTTATTTGGTCACTGTGTTGAAGGCCTAAGAACATTCACGATCATACAATTACACTTGATAGAACTTAAGCAAACCAGTGATTTTGCCGAGTTTCAGATATTGTATATTCAAAACGTCCATAGAGAATACCTCTTCTTTCATATCAAATTTGCGAGAAGCAGATTCTTTGACTAGTGAACAAACTTTTCCACGTGAGCTAGTTTCACTGGTAAAGACTTGGGAGAGGAACTTGTTTACTGCATACTCATCTACTCCATCACTGAAACACAAAATCAAGATACTCATCCCTGCTATTTGAACTTTGATTCCCATTGATGAAAGACATAAATAGGAAATATAAGCTCACCTGTGCATGAGACTTCTAAGCTTGAAATAGGTGACATCATCAAAGAATAGATGGCAGTAGGACAGTCTACCATCCCTTCCAGCACGTCCAATTTCCTGTGTCAGCCCAGTAGCATCTAGTTAAGGTACTGTTGTCATAAATATTATATGACCAACGAGTATTTCAGAGCTGAATTTCCACCTGAACATATTCTTCAAGGCTTTCTGGCAAGCTATAATGAATCACCTGGAAACAGATTCAGACATGAGAATTTCACAACATACATTTGGATGACAGATGCAAGATACATCATTCATTCGAAAATGTACCCATATAATTTTTTTAAGAACATCAGGTCAAATATATCTGCCAGACTGCCACGGGCTTCACAGTAAATTATTAACTTCCAATTAAATCATCCGGTAACTGTGTGTGTTACCCCATGAATTATCTACTTTGCAAATGGGACTGTTGGTGGACAAATGCCACATAAAAGGAGACATAAATCAGAAAATATGTTATTTATCTTACAGCTCCAACATCGCTCTTGTCCAGACCCATGCCAAATGCCACAGTTGCAACAACCTTCATAAAGAACAGTGAGTAAGCAAACTTCTTACATCACTTGTAAGAAAATAGCACCAACCAGAAGAGAGAACAAAATCTTCTCTCACCACTCTAATCTTGTTAGAACAAAATAACTCTTGTATACGGCTGCGTTCCTTTGAGAAGATACCACTGTGGTAGCTCTAGAATATAATTGAGAGAAAATATTTTTCAGACAATTTCTTTTTCATCAGAAGATCAAATTTTAAAGGGACAAAACTTTACGTCAGATAGTAGTTTACAAACTGACCTTTGCTGGGATGTTATTGTCGCATAAGTATCTGCTTATGTTATCAGTTTCAGTCTGCCAAATTGAAATACTAATTTAAGTTTTCGAAGCGTATAACAAAAAAATGGCACAAACATGTTGCGAGTAAGTATTAGAAAAGAATCCCAATTCCTAAAAGCAGGAACGAAGACCGATTCACACACCTGAAATTTACAGTATATAATGATGCTCTGGACTTCCTTGTACGCGGAAGACTTGATCAACATCAGTAGGTCTTTCATTCTGCACCGGCCAACATTTCAAAATATGAAGTTAAAAGAACTTGAAATGAATTCCACCGAGACATTAATGAAAATGAAGCTGTCCAACTTGTTAAGATACTTGCCTGTTTTTACTAAAGGATACAGACAACTGTAGATTGTCTCTCAGCTGCTCTTTCTGAATGAGATTAGTTGAAGGAATATCTAAAGCAGACATAACAGCATTCAAGGTAGTGGTAGTGGCGGTTGCTGTCATTGCAAGAATGCATCCAATACTAAGCTTGGCACGTAGTAAGGAAGCTCTGAGCCTCATATATGAAGGCCGAAAGTTGTGAGACCTATTTATAAATTCACCACATGAGAATTCGGAAATGGGAAACCAATGCTCCTATTTTATAAACATGGGGAGATGAACAACAGAAAACTCACCATTCAGAAATACAGTGAGCTTCATCAACCACCAGAAGGGAAACATGAATAGAAGACAAAACTGACAGGAAATCAGCGTTCAAGAACCTCTCTGGTGAAACAAAAAGCACCTGGGAAACCATTTAAGATCTAAAAAAAGTGAACATGAGCTCATAAAGGTTTGCAAATTGCAGCTAAACTGTAATGAAGCTCACTTTAATGGCTCTTTGCTGAAGCAATTTGGTGGTCTCTTCAACCTCTTGAGGCGTCTATGCAAAATCCAAGAAAGTGAGCATTAGATAAAACTGGCATTATTGGTAAAGCCAGAAACCCATGAAGGACTGAGAAAAAGAAAGAAAACTTACCTGACTGCTACAGAAAAGGCCACCTTGAATGGCAGCAGGCAACTGTTTAAGCTGATCGATCATCAACGCAACTAACGGGCTCACCACCAGAGTGATTCCTGGCAGAATCACTGCCGGGATCTGATAACAGAGAGATTTCCCGGCGCCGGTGGGCAAAACCAGCATTGCTGATTTGCCATCGAGCACCATTCTAATTGCTTCAAGCTGCCCATTCCTAAACGAACTATAACCATACATCAAACTCAACAACCTCACCAAATTCTCATCGGATGGCTCTCCTCTCGCAGCCGAAACCGCTTCCTCAATCAACTCGCCGCCATTCTCCGCCTTCTGTTGGGTGATCTCCGTCACCAAACCTTCCTCGTCGCAGAGTGACCCACCGGCTTCGGCTGCTTCGCTGTCCGCCTTCAGCTTCCGCTTGCTCCGTCGGTAAAGTCGCCGGTTGTTCGACGCGTAACTACTACTGCTCTTCCGCATCCCTTTCCTGTTGAGGAACTTGTTCTTGTAGTTCGTGTTGAGCTTCACGAAGTTGCCTTCGCTGCCACCGCTGCACTTCCGCAATTTGACTGGTGGCGGCGGCGCTTCCGCTCGAATCAGGTTGATATTCTTCCTGATGTTGTTGTTGTTAGGTTTCGGGGCTGGAACCGCCGTGGAAGAATCAGGCGGCGGCGGCGGGGGACAAGACTCGTCGAGCGATTCGAAATTGAGGGAGGTTCTTCTGATTTTGGAGAAGGAAGCGGATTTGGAGAAATAGCCGGCGGGGAGAGCTTCGATTGAATGGGAAGACGAGGAGGATGAAATCGGTCGGTTTTGATAGCAGATCTGAAACGGCAGGTTCGAGAGAGGTGCTGAATAGACCGCAGGAGCGTCGTCGTCGTTTTTCCGGTCGAGAGGCGGCTGTTCTAGGGGTTTATTAGAGCGAGAAGCGGCGGCGGCGGAGGAGGAAGTTGGGGTTTTGTTTCTGGTTTTGCTTCCGGCGCGTGGAGGTTGCCGCAGGGGAAGCGGAGGAGGAGGAGCGGGACGAAACTGCTTCGGCGGCTGTTTGGAGTTTCTGGGAGGAGTAGCTGAGACGTGAGAGCCGCCGGAGTCTGAATCGGATTCCATCAGGTGACGGTGGCGGGGGAGAAATTTGGGAGGGAAAGTAGCAGCGACCGAGTTTTTACTCTACAGACTTTCCCGCCAACATTTCTAGGAGGGACGGAGCGTAGAATAGGGTGATAGTCTGATAGATAGACATATAGATGCCTACCAGTACCACATCGTTTGTCTTGAGTAGATGTTTAGTCTTTATAAGTTCTCCTCAAACCAATTACAATGTCCCTTCGGGGACATCCGATAAAATTGGAACGATACAGAAAAGATTAGCATGGCCCCTGCGCAAGGATGACACGCATAAATCGAGAAATGGTCCAAATTTTTTATTCCATCTTCCTGGTGTTTTTTATATTGCCGTCCAACTCTCCTTATTATTATCGTGTTTATAAATATGTTTAATCCATTTAATTAATTTTAATTTTTTTTCACCTTATCGATGTTTCTTGTATTGTCGTCCAACTTTCATTATTTATTGTGTTTTTAAATATGTTTAATTCGCTTAATTAATTTTAAGCATGAAGTCAGAAGTAGCGATTGTAGCAAGAAATACAGAGAAGATTAGCATGGCCCCTGCGCAAGGATGACACGCATAAATCGAGAAATGGTCCAAATTTTTTATTCCATCTTCCTGGTGTTTTTTATATTGCCGTCCAACTCTCCTTATTATTATCGTGTTTATAAATATGTTTAATCCATTTAATTAATTTTAATTTTTTTTTCACCTTATCGATGTTTCTTGTATTGTCGTCCAACTTTCATTATTTATTGTGTTTTTAAATATGTTTAATTCGCTTAATTAATTTTAAGCATGAAGTCAGAAGTAGCGATTGTAGCAAGAAATACAGAGAAGATTAGCATGGCCCCTGCGCAAGGATGACACGCATAAATCGAGAAATGGTCCAAATTTTTTATTCCATCTTCCTGGTGTTTTTTATATTGCCGTCCAACTCTCCTTATTATCGTGTTTATAAATATGTTTAATCCATTTAATTAATTTTAATTTTTTTTTCACCTTATCGATGTTTCTTGTATTGTCGTCCAACTTTCATTATTTATTGTGTTTTTAAATATGTTTAATTCGCTTAATTAATTTTAAGCATGAAGTCAGAAGTCGCGATTGTAGCAAGAAATACAGAGAAGATTAGCATGGCCCCTGCGCAAGGATGACACGCATAAATCGAGAAATGGTCCAAATTTTTTATTCCATCTTCCTGGTGTTTTTTATATTGCCGTCCAACTCTCCTTATTATCGTGTTTATAAATATGTTTAATCCATTTAATTAATTTTAATTTTTTTTTCACCTTATCGATGTTTCTTGTATTGTCGTCCAACTTTCATTATTTATTGTGTTTTTAAATATGTTTAATTCGCTTAATTAATTTTAAGCATGAAGTCAGAAGTAGCGATTGTAGCAAGAAATCATGAACGACTGAATTGATAGAGATCACGACGGCCCGGTTTTTTCCTTTTTGTTGTCCAACTCTCCTTATTTACAGTGTTCTTAAATATGTTTAATCCACTTAATTAATTTTAATTCTTTTTTCCATCTTTTCGGTGTTTCTCGTATTGTCGTCCAACTCTCCTTATTTACTATGTTCTTAAATATGTTTAATCCGCTTAATTAATTTTAAGCGGGAAATCAGAAATAGCGAGGATTGATAGAGATCAAACGATGGCCTAGTGTTTTTCGTATTGTCGTCCAACCTCTCCTTGTTTACGGTGTTCTTAAATACGTTTAATCCACATAATTAATATTAAATCATTTTTTCCATCTTCCCGGTGTTTCTCGAATTGTCGTCCAACTCTCCTTATTTACTGTGTTCTTAAATATGTTTAATCAGCTTAATTAATTTTAAGTAGGAAGTCAGAAGTAGCGATTTGTAGCAAGAAATCATGAACGATTGGATTGATAGAGATCAAATGATGGCCCGGTGGTTTTCGTATTGTTGTCCAACTCTCCTTATTTACGTTGTTTTAAATATATTTAATACACTTAATTAATTTTAATTCTTTTTTTCCATCTTCCCGGTGTTTCTCGTATTGTCGTCCAACTCTCCTGATTTACTCTGTTCTTAAATATGTTTAATTCACTTAATTAATTTTAAGCAAGAAGACAGAAGTAGCGTTCTTAAATATGTTTAATCCACTTAATTAATTTTAAGGAGGAAGATAGAAGTAGTGTTCTTAAATATGTTTAATCCACTTAATTAATGTTAAGCAGGAAGACAGAAGTAGCGATTTATAGCAAGAAGTTCAAGACAGAAGTAGCGATTTATAGCAAGAAGTCATGAACGGTTGAATTGATAGAGATCAAACGATGGTTGTGCGGAGATTTGGAATAGGAGAAAGAGGAACACACGACCAATGACAAAACTTCTCAGAATCATTACACTCATCAAGTGAAGCTATATACCCAAGTCACAAGCTAGAGCAAACCACAACTCCACAAGCGGCAACTGCCTTTTCTTTTTCTCATTCTGCCAACAATCAACCTAGCAACAAATAGAAGAAACTTTACAGCTTATGTTACCCAACAACGCATCAGATTTGTGCCTTTTTTTTTTTCTTCTTACAAATGAATTTGGAAAATCAATTGGCAATCTTTCATTTCAAGCCACCCCAATAAGAAAGAAGAGCCATCTCTAATCAGCATACAACAAACCGTAGGGAGACCTTCATTCCTTCCTTCTTCACATTATTGTGCAATTGCACTTTGATTCCAGCTTCAGAGGCTTCGAACTATCCATTTTATTAGGTAGACCGACGTTACGCACCATGGAATCATCAGCATTCTCGTCATTCTCTACTACCTTCGCAGAGGAAGGGCTTTTCACGGAGGCCTCTTCTTGCTTCTGCTGCTGCTTAACTTTTGAAGGCTTTAAACTCCGTCTGGCTCTTACACCACCGCGGGTATCCTTTCTATCAGGAATGGATTTCCCCAAGATGGTGACTGTTGGCCGTGAATCGTTCAATGGGACTGAGAGTTCCTTTTCAATGGCTATTGTTGCAGCTTTGTAAGCCAGGTCGTGGACAATTGAGCTACAGAAGAGTATGGTGTCGGTAGCTTCTTCAAGGGTTAGGCTTCTTCCCACCTTGTTCCCTCCATGGCATTCCACCATCACAGTGGACTCGTCTGGCAAAAAAGACACTTATTAAAATGTCGGAAGAATCGATGCTCGTTCTGAAGAGCACAACTTGCAAACTCATAAAAAATAGATGTGCAATAAGGAAATACAACAGGTGCTGCCATAACTGTAGGTGTGTGCATGATCCAACATCATCCAGAACCAGACCGAATCTTCACTATATAATAAACAAGGGGGGGAATGATGACTAAAATCGAATCAGAAGCGATCTCGTTTAGATTCGATCTTGTCCAATTCGTTTTTCTAGAGGATCTATAGAATCGAAACCAAATTAAATAAGTCCAATATGAACCAAATTGGTGCACGCCCTAACCATAGCTGAAGAGACATTATCATAAATGTTAATTATAAATGGGTTAATGACATTTGTGGTCCACGTACTATGTTGTTTTTAACAAAAACATGTCCTTGTACTGTGAACTAAAACAAATTCACATGTCATAAGCCATGTATGATGGAAATCTAAACAAAATCTCCGCCCCATTAAGTCCCACATGACAGATGCATGTTAAAAAATCAAGACAAGACAGTTAGATTTAAGAGTTGATTGAGAGGCAAACATGAACGTTCAATAGACAAAAAAGTCGATAAACGAAAGCACAGGGATGAATTTGTTTAAAATAATAGTGCATGCACGTGTTTGTCAAGAAGGCATAATACGGGGACTACAAATGTAATTAATTCTTCATATATCAACGTAACGCAAACTTGGAAGAGGAGAGTGAACACATACCTAGAAAACGGCGTTCATGATCTGAGGTGCTGGTTTGCAGGACGGAAGCAGTAGCATCTTTATCTGATGGTGCAGAAAGTGAAGGATCCTCGAATTCGTCTGACATCCCTCTCAAGTTTGCAGAAAGATCATTTCTTACTGAGCTTGGAGGATTTCGAAGGTGATCCTCACTTTCAATCTCTGATATTGATGCCAGTCTACTGTGACTGGGAACCTCGGGAATATGATTATGATCGACACTTGTGTTGGTGATGCTATTTTCTGCTTCAACTGAGAATTCCAAGGGGGACGATGCATCTGTATCTGAGAGATTTTTGGCATGGTCTTGATACCCTTCGTCATTTTCATGCAACGGGACACTCTTCGAAGCTATGGATAATTCAGAATGCTCTTCTAACTGTAATGTGGAAGCATCCATGGTTCTACTACTGTCTGTTCTCTCGCATAAATATTCCTCAGAAACCGGCTGGCCATTGGTAGAAGACGTATTGGTAACTTCCACTTCGTTATTTTGAGAACCTGAAACACTATCTTCAAGCGTACTCGTCAGAGGGAATGAAGCTTGGTGTGCAACATTATTAAGAGACCCGGAAAAAGATGACCCGCTACTTTGAGGTCTGGTACTTTCAAGATCATATTTCTTTCCACTCAATTGCCGTTGGACCCGAGTGGTTTCCATTTGCCTGGCTGACGAGGAGAGATCGAGAGAAGATGATCCAGATGTGCTAGCATGGCCGAAGGAGCTTCTCAAACTGTTTGCACTATCTCTCGTGAAAGACACGTCGTCATAACTAAGGGTAGATGCTGTGAAACTCCTGCCTTGGAAAACAGGCCCTTTGCTACTGCTGGATTTTTTTAGTACAACAGAAATGCCAGCACCTTCGACGAGATCAACTTTCAAGGTATGCAATGCGTTGCAGTTGGACAATTGCTGACTTCCAGTGACGATATCGGAGACGCTGCGGCCAAGAGTTGGTTCTTTAGTTACTCGTTTGCTGGCCATCTTGTGCTTATCTCCCTCTTCTGCCAACATAGCAACAAAACCTTCTACTTGTGGATCCATAAGGCTCTGCTCATGGCTTGAATTATCGACTTGCTTGCCTAAGACTTCATGCAGGACAGTATCACCAACAAAACTCACATTGTCAGTTAGGGACTGCAACTCCATTACAGCAGTATCTAGCGCTGACTCATCCATCTGTTGGTTCC